ATTTTAGAATTTTGTTTAAATATCTCTTCAAATAGATTTCGTTCATACGTAATTACGACATGTAACAGCCGTAATTCTAATGTCAGTAGCGAGAAACCTAGCACAGTGTAAACAGTTGCTTCTTTCTTATATAGATCCAATACTGGAGAAGGGCGCTCATTTGTACGCAAACCCTGACAATATATTGGTACTGTAGCCAACTCTCATGTATTTGATTGGAATTAGTTTTTCAGAAGTAAAGGTAAAGCTAAAGCTATCCTTATACTCGTAACAGGCCGTGGAGGCCCATAAGGTTGTGAGACGTCGGGGCTCTCACATTTTCTCTAGAAAATCTGCTAACAGATGGCCGTGAGGTTGTCAGCCTTACGCGCTGGCTGCCCCTTAGCCCCCAGGAAGATTCCTGGTACTCATTTCTATTGGAGGCTGAATCGACCCCAGGGCCATAGTGCGACTGGAAGGATTACGAGTAGGTCAATTGAAAAATCCAGTGAACTCGTCAGGAATCGAACCCGCGACCTTCAGGCCTATAGCACAGTGCCTTAACCAACTACGCTACCGGGTGCTGTTGAAATATATTCTTTCTTTTCCTTTTGGAACGGAGGAAATGGAGAAACCTGTATTATAAGATTTCACATATTGTTAAATTGGTCTCATAATTCTGAGGAAGGGGAATAAACTTTAGAGGCCTTTATCCCCAGTACAGCACACTCTTAATCACATTCAGCAGATACAAAATTCTGTTCTTGTTATTGTAATTAACTTGAGCTGACTTTATACGTGGTTTCAGTTATTTGACCATAGCATGAATATTGTTTATTCAGTATATTATCTATACGTATATTTGCATGTATTCTAATGCCACGCTGTCTGTTGAATCGAAGTTACTGCCAACTCTGTGTTCTGTCCCTTATCAAATAAACTATACTATACACTCAGTATGTGTATATGTATAGGCGTTTATTTCGCCCCTTTCCCCATAATAACTTAGTTTATATTTTAACGACGATAATGCATATGCTGTGTTGCCCATGAAGATTTTAATGGTCGCTCATTTGACGAAAATTCATTGCTTTCTCGATAACGTAGCTGCCTCTCATTGGCTGACACTGAGGCGTTGATTGAGCCATTTATTAGATTATTATAGGTGATAATTTTGCAGCAAGCGCTGTCGCTCTCATGTCAGCTCTTTACTGGCATTGCACTCTCTCTCTCTTGCCATCTGCCTTTCTTCCGCAAATTCTCTTGGAAGTGTTCCTATCGATTTGCTGTTATACAGTTAAAAACACTTTTCTGACTGATCATGACATGCATTATCGTTACAAAAACGTACACTATTCAGTAAAAACTGTTGATACAGTTCTTTAGCCCCTCAGAATCTCTTGGCTCATAACCCTCGCCGGGATCTATAAACCAAATACTGGCAATTTCACGATGAGTTATAACTTAACCTATAAATTTGTGGTCGTTTCAAATTTAACATCACTTTGAACATCTTAGGGGTAAGCGATAGCGTAGTTGGTTGAGGCACCATGCTGTAAGCCGGAAGTGCTCGAGTTGAATCCGCGATGAGGTGGATTTTTTCAATTGACCTAATCCTTCCAGCCGCACTATGGCCCTGGGGGTAAAGGGCGGCCGGCGCGTAAGGCCGACAACCTCATCGCCATCAATGAGTCGATTGTCTAGAAAATGTGGGAGCCTCAACATCTCACAACCCTATGGGCCTCCACGGCCTGGTACAGGGATACCTTTACATTTTTTTTCACTTTGAACATCTTAGAATAGATCTGATGACTGACAGCTAGAGATCCTAACAATTCGATTGTCAGTCATGCGCCGTACAGTGTGTAACTTAGAGGCCGAGGTGGCCGCGCCATAGCTCAAGCGGTTAGTCGCTGGCTTCCCACTGCGGCGGCCCGGGTTCGATCCCGGGTCTGGTCAAATGGGATTTGTGGTGGGCAAAGTGGCCCTGGGGCAGGTATCATGAGTCTTTTTTAAACATATATACTATAACCGACCAAATCAACTCCATCGCCTGCTTAAGCGGTCTTCGCTGGGCTGTGGGTGGGTAATTCCGATGGGTTATTTTTTCAGGTTCGGTTATTCTGAGTGTCTGGTAAAGGTTTGACTCCGTCTCGAAGGTCGCATTAACGGGGAAACCCATACCGGTCATGCACCATACAACAAGCCACAGCGATTGACTTTGATGGTAACGTGCATTTGTTATAATTCACCTCTTTGTACTCTTTAACACTGAATTAAGTCGCAGAAGAAGTGAGGCATAACGATGCAATGTTCGTTCAGTTCCTAGTTCGCGTCAATTTAACCAATATTCGGGTGTTGATTTATTATAAAGAACTTACCGGAGTCGCCAAACACGTCCTTTCACTTGTGAAGCTAGAACATAAAAAGCCCCAGCGAGATGATGTGTACCAGCGACGCATCGGCTCTCCAAGAAGTGGCGTCCGACGTTAACACAAGTCCTTCATTGCCGGTTGGTTGGATTCGAACAGAGTTCCTCACCCTTCCATCGAATTTATGCATTCCTCTTGGTTAAGACTAACGAAAGCCACGTCATCCTAAGTAATGCTTTTCCACATCTGGAAACCATCAGCCCCAGGAACTACTCCCACTCTGGACCTGACTTCGGTGACGAAAATTGTCCCATATTTAGATGTCTGGCTCCAAACCACACAAAAGAATTCCAAGCTCCGTGACATTTCGCTTACTTGAAGCCTAATTAACAACCAGAATTTAAGCAAACTCTTAAATATGCGTATGTGGCCGTGCCATAGCTGAAGCTGTTAGTCGCTGGCTTCCCACCGCGTCGGCCGGGGTTCGATCCCGGGTCTGGTCAAGTCGGTTTTGTGGTGGACAAAGTGGCGCTGGGGTGGGTCTTCTCCGAGTTCTTCGGTTTCCCCTGCCAATCTTTATTCCACCAAATACTCCAGCATCATAATCACCCGGAGCAGGCTACAATATGCCAATCAGTGGCCGCCGTGGCGAGTGGATCCAGTTGGACTCCACCCCCACTACGCGTATTAAAAAAATATGCGTATAATTCTAGGCGGCTGCAATACCGTTTCTGTATTTCAAAAGTGAATGTAACCATATAAATCAAATTTGTTACCGGGGCTGCTTGATTTACCAAACCAAAATTTGAGCAAGTTTGATTAGTAGTATATTGTGACGTGCCGCCTAAAAGCCGGAATATCCTGAGTCAGAGGGCGTCAATTGCTAGACAAGGGCTTGTTAAAACACGTGGCCGGGACAACAAGCCGGAATAGACCATTGCTGAACAACACTCGGTAAACACTACCTAAAAGCCGGAATAGTGGAGTTATCCATTTTGCTAGGCAACTGTTCATGCACGTTTCCGAGACAGCGCGTACATGACAGACCGTTGCCACGGAAGTGAAAGCCAGAACTAGTGTAGTTCCTGCGGCAACGAATACACCAGCGACCGGTACATATGATACGTGAAACGGAACCCTTGAAGAAGGTGTCTTCTAGTCCGTCCGACGGAAGAATATAAGAGACCAGACCAGAGACCAGGAATCCCGACTCCCGTGTGGAGGCGGGGTCGAATACCTCCACCGTGACCCTGCGAGTCGTAGGAGGCGACGAAAAGGGAAGGTTCAAATCTGAGACAGTAAAATATGGTCGCGAGTCCCAAGGAACTCGGACCCGAGAAAGGCCGCGCTGGCAAGGGCCAGCAGCGTATGCAAAAGACAGACACGTCCTCTCGTCAGAGAGGGCGTCTCACAAAAATAAGACCGTAACTGTCAAACAGTAATAATTAATATCTGGTCATGAGCCCCAGATAGAGCTCGACACCAAGACTTACTGACTGACTGACCGTCAGTCGCAATGTAACTTTGACTTTGAGGAATCCCGTGTGGAGGCGGAGTCGAATTCCTCCACCGTAGCCCTAAGAGTCGTAGGAGGCAACGGGAAGGAAAGTCTCGAACCTGAGACAGTAAAATATGGTCACGAGTCCCACGGGACTCGGATCAGAAAAGGACTGCGCTGGCGAGTGCCAGCAGCGATTGTAAACGACAGCCCCATCCTCTCAACAGAGAGGGCGCCCCACATCTACAAACTCGCAACTGTGTGACAGTAATACAAATCTGGTCGTAAGCCCCAAATGTGTGCTTTATTCCAAGACAGACCGGCCGACTGACCGTCAGTCGTAACATAAGAATCAGACTCAGCGGAGTTGAGAAGACAGGCGATCAGAGCAGAGCTGAGAGCAGAAGAAACCAGCTCACCTAAGAACCAGAAGACGACAGACTAGACAGGTTGCATCATCTGGAAGATGCTATTTCAGAGTGATTGTAATTGTGATTGTAAACAACTTATCCAATAAACAGCTTCACCTAATCCGGAACCCATTAATTTCTTGTCGCGTTACCAGAATACGTGACAATATGAAAATTTGGAAACGACATGAAGAGTAAATTCATTCAATTCAGAATATGTTGACTTCCCTTTCTGTCGGTAAGATTACATTATATATAACGGGAATTTGCCTGTTTTATGCTGCCACGAAACTTTTTCCCCATTGCAGGGGAAGAACAAAGATGATGCTATTTTTTAAAACGAAGTCCTGGGGAGAATGTGCGAATCTGAGGGAGGAACTCCCTCAAGGAGTACTTTTGATGCAGACGTCTGCATAATATAAATAGTATCTTATACAACTATACATCCACTCCCCCATACGCTTTCATGGCGTAGTGCTTAATTAGTTAAGCACAAGGACAATTTTTGCCTAACTACATAAATGGCAGCTTTGTAGTTTTTGTGTAGAGTGCAGATATTAAAACCTATTCTGAAAATACGTCGTTAAGGATGTGAATTGAGTTGAATATATGAGGCGGCTGGTTCCTCCGAAACGTCAGTAACCACCTACATAACCTCACGATGTTAGATGACCACAGTCATAGTTTTATTCGTCGTGAAGACCTCAAATCTGATCTAAACCGAAAGCAGTGATCGTTTTTATGGCAGTGAACGGTCATGAATCAGTTTTCGAGCAGTTGAATAACTTTCGACTGCTCAGTGAGTGGTCTTCCAGAGAGCTGTTTGATTTGTTGGTTGGCAGTGAGTACTTAATGTAAGATACAGGTGATACAGTTGAATAAAATGTCCCTATCTCAGTCATAATAGAAAACCAGTTCTGTTATGCAGAAACCAACGTTTGTCTCACTGTACTAAGAAGAAGGATGTAACTACCCACCTATCTACCTGTTTGCGTACGTACCTACCACTTATCTACCTACCCAGTCACATACCTACCCACCCACCTACCGTCTACCTGCCTTCCTACCTACCTACCTACCTATCTCTACATACCTACCTCCCTACCTACCTACCTGTCTGCCTGCCTACCTACCTGCCTACATGCCTACCTGCCTGTCTACATGCCTACCCACCTACCTGCCTACCTACATGCCTACCTACCTACCTACCTACCCACCTACCTGCATACATGCCTACCTACATACCTACCTTCCTGCCTACATATCTACCTGCCTACCTACATACCTACCCACCTACCTGCCTACATACCTGCCTACCTACCTACCTACCTGCCTACCTACCTACTGTCTGTCTACCTCAGTGGATGAGAGTCTGTGAGAAGCCGAACATTGGCATGTGAAACATAAGTAACAATATGCTACCTTACAAATAGTGTGGGTATGAAAGTGTCTAGCCTGGGTCAAAAGAATTCGGTCCATTATACGTATACGTATACCTAGGTCATTGTAAAATACTGTGATCATATGGTGTTTCTTGAACAGAATTCTTTTATTGTTTCAGAGGACCGAAAATTTGGATCTGTCTTTGTCCGTACCTCACGCTTTCCACAACAACGGATACATGGCTGACCAGGTAAGTAAGGATGAATTGCAAATGTTAATTTTAATGACGTGCTTTAGCTTCACAAGGAACATAAACACACTCCATCATTCTGCTTTCAGTTCGTTTCCTCTACCTCTCCATAACACAGTAATAATCAGAGAGAGATGCTGTAAATCATAGGCATTTCAGCGATTTCAGTATGAAATTTACTGATGAGCTGCTCAGTGTTATGTGCCACAATTACGAGCGCGCTCATTGGAAAGCGAGAACACTGTTGTATGCGTCAGACCCTCTGAAACAGCTGCAATTAAGGCTCCTTAAGACGGTCGCGAGTTATAGGAGATTTGGCAGTATCACAGACCGAACAAGAGGAACGAATTGAATACATCATCATCATCACTGTCATTGGCAAAACAGTCTTATTTCAGCCATAGCCTTCCTCAGAAGATTTTACCAGATTTGTCTTGAATTAGAGCATCCTGTTTTCACTTCTTTGTTTTTCGCAACACAGCCACGCGTCCGATCCCCAGCCTGGAGGACCAGGTCCCTGTATTTATGCCCCCTAGTGACAGAGTGGCCGAGTTGTACCTTTTCGTCGCCTTTTACGACTCGCAGGGCTACGATGGAGGTGTTCTAACCGGCCTCCACATGGGGCGAAATATATTGCATATGCTAATTAAAATGAGTGGCTGGTATTATCAAACGGGTCGTTCCACCATTGAGAGGGAGCAGAAGGAAGTGGAGTTGCTAAGATTTTGTCATATATGCCCCTCCCCAAAGGCAGAATAGGGGAAGAGGCAGACCATGTAAAATATTTGAGGATCAATTCTGAATACAAACTTAGTGTCGGAGTAATCCGCGAAGATTTGCACTGATGATGTGATGGATTCATTGCCTTCTGTTCTCACGAGACCTCCACATTGTGGGGGGATTTCTCATGCTTCACATTTTATCCTTAATTTTACACTTCTTATCACGAAGTTAATAAAATGAGGACACAAAGAAGGGATTGATCTGCCTTACTTTTCATGTCAAAAACAATTGAAAGGCTTTATTTCAAATTTTGTGTTGGATGGGAAAGAGGATATACACATACACTAAAAATAAAGGCAAAATGGTCCCTGAACTTGATTAGTCGCCACGGCCTGAGAAATTATGAGGGAATATAGTTGACCTTCCAGAATTGCAGCTATCTTGAATTAAAAAAATAATTTGTATCTCTCAAAATGGATATGTATCAGCAAAAAAAAAAAGTAACTTCACGACCTGTGAGGTGTGTGAAGTCTGAGCGCCTTTTTTTTTCAGGGTTGGTTATTAAATGACCATGTAATTATCAAGACTATACAGGGTATGCCTGAAAAGTGCGAACAAACGTTTTTCGCGAGTTCCACATACCAAAGCAAGAAAAAAAAATATCCACATCAACGCGTGTGTAATTTATTATCTGTAGTTGAAAGAGTGCTTGATGGTGATGCGGCACATTTTAGCCGCGCTCTGCGAGTTGTTCTGCGCAACACCTATAATGCTCGATGGATAGGTAGAGGAGGACTCACTGCATGGCCTATGATCGCCAGATTTGAATCCTCTGGATTTTGACCTCTGGGGACACCTGAACACCTTGTGTATGGAGCCCCTGTTGACAACGAAGAGGCACTTTATCGCGTTGTGGATGTCTGAGAGACTATCCGCAACTGCCCCGGCAACTTTGAACGGATGCGACGGTCCATGATGAGACGTGTCGAGGCGGGCAATGAATCTCATGGAGGTCACTTTGAGCACTTATAAGTGTACTCTTTCTTCTATACCTCAGAAATGAAATGTTTCCGGACAAACATAGATATGAACCTCTTTTTTTTGTATGTGGAACTCGTGCCCAGACTTTGTCCGCACCTTTTTGACTTTCACTTTGTATAACGTGGAGAAGAGAAATTTCTTGATCCTACCGGGACTCGAACTCTGACTCCTCTGTCTTGCATCCCGTAGCCAGTCGCTATACCGACTACGATATCACGGCTCCTAAATTGATACAGGACCTGTGAAATCAGTCGGGTACAATTGTAGTTACAAGAATGAATAAGCCACTGTGTACTGTTTGTGTTGACGTGGTCTGGAGCGCGAGGCCAACACGCTGTCGAGCTGTAGCAGTGACAGTTTCCAACTTCTTTTATTGAGCTGCCTAGCCTCAGCTGGGTTGACGTGCCGAGGCGTTAATATTTACAGCAATTTTCCTCGTGGTCCAATGTGAAAGCAATTTAGAAGAGGACATAGTGACCTGTACTCGCATGTATTGTGGAGACGTTGGAAGTAACGTTTTGTTCGGGGTAGTGAATTTCATTCTTCGCTTTCTCGAATTTATATAGGCGCTAGGTTTATGATACTTTTTAAAATATGATCCATCTAAAGCTGGAGTGGTCGAGGTACAGCTTACAGGCTGGAGGCAATGTACGGATAAATTAAGTTTGATCCTTGGCTAACCTGGCCGAAGTTTTCGTCGATTTTCTCAGTTCTTTTAGGAAAATTCCAGGATAGAGCCTCGACTAGGTCACGACCGTTTCCCTCCAAATTCTAGTTCATCAGTCATCGTATCATTCGATGTTGTAGGCTTGTACTCTGAATAATGACAAAGAAACAAAAAAAAAATGGTTTTAGTCCGAAAGCGAACTATACTGACCGAGCGACCGCCGCTTGTCGGCGAAGTTAGTGCCACCTTTAGCAGCTAGAGGGTGTCGCTTGGTCAGCGCAACGAATCTCCACGGCCGTTAATCTCTGTTTTCTAGACCGGAGCTCCTATTTCCTTGAAATAGCTCCTCAATTATCCTCGCGAGGCTGAGTGGACCCCGTTCCAGACCCACTACTTCTCAGAAAATCTGGTAGCCCCGGGAATCGACCCCAGAACTCTGTATCTGTAGCCAGGAGCTCTGCCCACTAGACTACAAAGATGACTGCCTCATTAAATGAAACACAGACTCTCACAGCTTCGTTCATTCATCAATGGCTCTACAGCTCTTTGTTGGGCCCTAGCTTCTTCTTCAGTTTGGTAATCTTTTTTACATATTCGATAGGACACCTTAGACAAGTGATCAGCCCGTAGCAAGGCCGCTACCTACACACAGGATAAGATAAACACAGAATAAACGTACTCACAGACATTCATGCCTTGAGTTGGATTCGAACCCAAAATCCCAGCGTTCGAGCGAGTGAAGACACCTTCACAGCTTTCCCTTTGCAATCTCCTGTCATTCGACCCTATGTAAGACATTAAATAGAGAAAGCTTGGTTAAAATACACTGCTATAAGGACGAAATGTCCAACATCTGACTGACGTTAGTGTCTGTACAGTACCCGTATTTATCTTCAGTATCTACTCTTTGCTGTTTCTATGCGGAATTGCATTATTGAAGTTTCAAGGTATCCGTGAAGATCACAATACAGTTCAATAAATGAGGATTCATCTAGTGAATGATTAAATCGAAGAACTGAACTGATTCTATTGTCGTATCAAAGCGAACAAGGCTTTTTATTAAGGCTTTATGCGAGGCCTTTGTAAAGTAGAAGTTGATGTTGAATTGTACATTCATATTGGTTCTACAACAGGCATGTACTTGGGACAGACCCAGCCTATCACGATGTAATATTGATTCAGTTTTGTGACATTCAGTACTTTGCACGCGAAGGTAGACATGGCTACAGAATGCGACAAACGAGCGGAAATATCACACAGCTTCTCCGTCATGTCATGCCTTCTGTACGCTCAACACAAATATACATAAATGCTGATATGGACAAAACATTAAGTTTATAAAATGAATAAATAGATTTTAGTTTAATCCTTTGAAGCATGAAATTGATCTAAATAACATTTAATGATACTGATCCTGCCTCCACATTGCGTTTACATTACAGAGACCAACGTGTTACTGATATGCAGACAAATAATTGTTGTTTGTTGTTATAGGAAACCCATAAATACACTATCTTGTCGAAATGCAGAGGTTTTAAATATTAAACTAGGTGGTAAAAGGTAAAAAGGTAAAGTTGTCCCTGTGCTTAACTAATTAAGCACTACGCCATGAAGGCGTATGGGGGAGTGGAAGTAAGAACCACATTTTCTCGACCTCGGCACTGGCTGGAGGTAAGTATGTGGTTCATATAAAATTACTGCCTGTTATGGGATAAATTGTGACTAAGATAGCTGCTTGCCCTTCTGGACTAACATACCGTATTTACGCATGTATAGGCCGCACACTTTTTGCCAAAAAATCAAGAGGAAAACTGGGGTGCGGCTTATATTCGAAATCACACTTCATTTAAAAAAAATTGTATTCATAATTAGTAATACAGGGTGTTCTACTCCTGAAATAATATTCCAAGAAAATTATTTTTTCTATAATTTCTGTCTGAAAACTGTGCTGCGGCCTATACACGCACGCGGCCTATACATGCGTAAATACGGTATTATAATATTAATGCGTTAGTTCTGAATCCACTAGACAATTGTGTCCATTTACTATGTACTGTAGAGACATTCGACCTATCTTCGCTGAAGAATAGTAGAATAGCCTTGTACTGAGATATTCTGTGGGCCCTCAACACCCCTTTCGTCATTTGTGTACATACTATTATATAATTTGGTGGTAAAGAGGTAAATGTGTCCCTGTAACAGGCTGTGGAGGCCCACAGGGTTGTGAGATGTCGAGACTCCCATATTTTCTAGACAGTCGGCTCATAGATGGCGGTGAGGTTCTCAGCCTTGCGCGCCGGCCACCGTCTACCCTCAGGAAATCTCCTGGTACTCACTTCTATTAGAGGCTAAGTCGACCCCAGGGCCATTGTGCGGCTGGGAGGATTAGGTAATTGAAAAACCCTATGGCCTCATGGGAATCGAAGCCGCGACCTTCAGGGTTGTAGCATAGTGCCTCAACCAACTACTCCGCCGTGTGTCTCCTATAAATTGGTGGTGGTCGTGAAAATAGACGTAAAATATTGGTAATAGTTTGTTATAAACAACCACTCCCATTCCCCAAGTGTAG